GGTTTAGGGTTTAGGGTTTCTTACTTGTTTGGCTGCTCTCTTACGAGTGGCGTTTTCTAACATACGGAAATGCCACTCCATCTCCTGTAGAGTGTCCAATTGCTGAACAAACACCTCAAACCCTAAACCCTAAACCCTAAACCCTAAGTTGTACACCAAGTATACACCTTCCTACAATGAGCGAATTTCCTGTTGCAGCCCAGCAAGATCCGTCAATTAGGGTTTAGGGTTTAGGGTTCCTAGACATAATAAACCAGGGTTTCTATTACGATTGCTAAGATAATCGTTTTTGGAAATATTTAATTTTCTAGGGTTTAGGGTTTAGGGTTTACGGTTTAGGGTTTAGGGTTGATTCGTACTTGTTTTTTGACTTTATTCATTTCATGAATAAGTTGTTCAATAAAAGATTTAGCTGAATCCTCAGGTATATATTTAATTTTATTTTGTATATTTATTCCTTCGTCATTAATAACCCTAGAGCTTAAAACCCTTCCTCCTGAGAACCCTACTACTTTTATCTTCTCACGAGGACAATCATCTTCCTCTGCACCATAAACCCTAAACCCTAAACCCTAAACCCTAAACCCTAAATTATAACCTGTAGAATGTTGAATGTTAAACCCTAAAGAGTACAGGTTTTAATTTGTGTTTGGAATATTTTAGGGTTTAGAAATGGTGTAAACCCTAAATTAGGGTTTAGGGTTTAGGGTTTAGGGTTTACCACCTCCAGCAATTTGTTCAGCAAGGAAGTTTGGAATTCTTAGACTTTTTCTATTTTGAGGGTTTTCTTTTTGTTCATTATCCTGACTATCATCAATTAAAACCCTAATTGTCCTAGGGTTTTCTTCTTCTTCTCCTCCTCCTCCTCCTCCTTCTTCTTCCTCATTAAATAAATTAGCAAATCTTGCTGATTTGCTGCTTTTTCTCCCGCTGCTGCTGCTAGGGTTTGCTAAACCCTCAACTAAACCCTCATCATCTAAACCCTCATCTACTATACCATCATCATCTAAACCCTCCCCTCCTCTAAACCCTAAACCCTCGCCAGACCTACCCCTCCCTAAACCCTTTTCTAGATCGTCTTCGTTATCTGCTGCTGCTGCTGAAGGAGCAGCAACAGCAGCAGCAGCAGCGGAAGCAGCAGATGTATCTTGCCAACCAACAGCAGAAACCCTAGGGGCTCTCTCCTCTGCTGTTGCTGCTGCTGCTGCTGCTGCTGTGTCTTCTGCTGCTACAGAACCTCCTGTATTATCAGGCCAGGCGACTCCTTCTGCTGCTGCTGCTGCTGCTGCTGCTGCTGCTGCTTCTGCTGCTGCTCCTTGGTCCCCTATAGAGGGACTTGGCAGCAGCTCTGCTGCAGCAGCAGATGCTTGCGAATGCGCCTCTTCTGCGGCTTCCTGAGGTGCATGCATGTATGCAGCAGCAGCAGCAAAATATTCAGGTGTACAGACACCTCAATTATTAACAAAACCCTAAACTGCGTGTAGCAACAGCAACAACCGTCGCCAAACCCTAAACCCTAAACCCTAAACCCTTAGCGCACTCCTGTTGAGTTTTGAGGTACAACAAAGGGGTGAGGGGCCGCAGCAGCAGAGGTAACCGACCCCCTGCAGATTCATGCCACAGCAGCAGCAGCAGCAGCAGCAGCAGCACTGATAGGCTCAGGAGCAGCAGCAGACACAAGAGAGGACAGAAAAACAGTAGCAGCAGCAACTACCAGCAGCAAAAGGTCCTAAGGAGGAGGAGCAGCAGCAGCCACAACAGATGCTGCAGCAACAGCAGCAACTTCAGCTGCAGTAACACGCAGAGAGAAGCAACAGCAGCAAGACAGCAGCAGAAGGCACAGCAGCAGCTATATCTGCTGCGGCAGCAAAGTAACGTGTAGGAGAGCAGCGGCTTCAGAAGGGAGAGCTGAAGCAGCAGGAGCAGCAGCAGCAGGAGGAGGAGCAGCAGGAGCAGCAGCAGCAGTAACAGATACAGAAGTAACAGCAGCAGCAACAACAGCAACAGATACAGAAGCAGCAGCAGTAGCAGCAGCAGCAATGCCTTAAGCCGCCGCAGACTCGTTTGGATTTCCTTCTATGCTTGACATTTTCTTGGGTGCTGCTTCCAACTGTCGTTACACCTGCTGCTGCTGCTGCTGCTGCTGCTGCTGCTGCTCTTAATACTGCTGCTGCTGCTGAAGAATCTACTTGCTGCCCCGGCAGTGTCTCCCGGCTGTAACTCGATCTGTTAACCTGGCACACAGCAGCAGCAGCAGCGGACGGCGACGGCGACCGTAGCTGCAGCGCCGCTGGTTAGGTAGTTTGTAGCCGTTATAACGTAGAAGGCAAAACTAAATTAAAATATATAAATTATTTTCTTCTTTTTTTATTTATTTTTTAAATAAATGGCGAATAACAAGAAGAAATCAATGATATTTCATAAGACAGGGAGGGTCACCTCCAGGTGTATCGGCAGCTCTCTCCAGGTGTGTAGGCAACTTGTGTGTTGCGCGTTACTTTTAGCTGCTTTGCAGATTAATTCTTTTTCTTTTTATTTATTTAAATAGATGGAAGGGGAGGGAGGGGTTATTTCATAGAGTTGAGACAGCAGTAGCAGCAGCCGCAACAACAGCAGCCGTAGCCGCTGCTGCGGCTGCAGCAGCAGCAGCAGCAGGAGCAGCAGCGACGCACACACCAGAGGCGGTTGCATGCATGCATATTAGCAATATAAAAGGGGAAATAAAGAAGAATAAAAATAATTAAATAATTTATTTATATGTTATTAACAACAGCCATTAAACCCTAATTTATAAACCCTAATCTATAAACCCTAATCTATAAACCCTAATCTACAAACCCTAATCTATAAACCCTAGATCTATATAACACCATTAAATATTGTTGTATAACTAGGAGGTAAAATGGCAAAAAACACATAAAAGTTGACTACAATTCCTTGTATATTTAATACGAATAATTCAGGTGTACGTACACCTCATAGTGTCTTCTCTAGTCTGCGGTGTATACGTATAGGCCAATGCTGCAGCATAAAGGAGAAAAAAAAAGAAAAAAAAGAAAAAAAGAGGAATAAGGGGATAAGAGGGGATAAAAAAAGTAATAAAAGAAGTAAAAATATAAAATATTTATTCTTGTTGTTTATATAAAGACACAGACATGGCTAATTGGGTCCGTGGTGTTCTGCTGCTGTTGCTGTTGCTGCTGCTGCTGCTGCTGCTGCTGCTGATGCTGCTGCTTCTAAATGCATGCATCTGCTTCTCTTGCAATAAACTAGAGGAGGGATAGACAGAGACACTCATCTATATCTTTAGGTCTCTATTAATTGTCCGCTGTCTCTGTGCATGCATGCATGCATGCATACGTGCATGCATGCATGCATGCATGCATACGTGCATACATGCAGCATGCATGCAGCATGCATGCATGCATACATACAACGGATCACTGGGTATATATATCTTTATATAAGCAGCAGATGCAGGAGTAAATAAAAGGAGACAGTGTCTCCTTCCCTTATATTCATCAGTGTTTGGATGTAGAATCTAGGGTTTAGGGTTTGGCATTAGAATATAGGGTTTAGGGTTTAGGGTTTGGCATTAGAATCTAGGGTTTAGGGTTTACGGCTTGGCATTAGGATCTAGGGTTTAGGGTTTGGTTAGGACTATCAAGAAGAGACAGACTGCATCAAGGGTTTTGTCTTCTATACAATTAGGTATATGTTGCTGATTAGTGTTTAGGGTTTAGATCTTAATACATCTAATTTCGAGGGTTTAGAGTTTTAGGGTTTAGGGTTTAGGGTTTGCCCTAGCCTATCTAGGGTTATTAGACTTATGCAATTCCTGAGGGTTTAGCGCATGCATTATTAAACAATTACTAATACATATATAATTTATATTTATTATAATTTATTTATTTATAATATATTTATTTATTCTTTCTTCCTTGTTGCTCTCTTGCATGCATGCATGCATGCATGCAGAGCAACAGAGATAATCCCCATTAGCTGCTGCAGTGCATGCACGCATGCACAGCAGCAGATGATGTGCATGCATGCAGGATAGATACTAAGGTAAGAATAATTAAAGTGTTAGTTCTGCATGCATGCATGCATGCATGCATGCATGCATGCAGATGATGCATGCGTGCATGCATGCATGCATGCATAAGGAGGATATATAGTTGCATGCGCATGCAGATATGTAACAGGATTCATAACTAGCCATGGCAGGTTGCACAAGGGCCACCCTACTGCTGCTGCTGCTGCTGTTGCTGTTGCTGCTGCTGCTGCATGCATGCACTAGCACTGATTTCTTCCTTTTAAGGGTTTATGTATTACCCTTTTGTTGCTTATTGCCTACAAAGGTGCAGGAAAGTTAATTAATTAACACTTTTTCCTCATCTTTTTTTCTTTATTTATAGTTATGTTTATTATATATACACTTCTTGCCTTGTATATGTATGTAGATGCGGTGGGGGGTTCAGGGTTTAGGGTTTAGGGTTTACATTATTATTTTTAGGGTTTTGTTGTTGGGGTCTAGGGTTCAGGGTTTGAGGTGAAGAAGGTTCGATTTTAGGGTTTAGATTTTAGGGTTTAGGGTTTAGGGTTTAGGACTTCGTGTTACCCGTATACAGTCTAGGGTTTACAGGGTAGGGTTAGGTCTGTGCTGCCTCTAGTGTATTAGTCCCGATTCACCAGCTCCATAGTCTAGGGTTTAGTGTTTAGGGTTTAGGATCTAAGGTTTAGGGTTTAGGGTTTACGGTTAGGGTTTAGGGTTTAGGGTTTGAGTTGCCTATTGGTGGTTTAGGGTTTGGGGCCCCTACAGAGTGGACCGCCTTCGGGGGCCCCCTATGCATGCGTCGGTGCCTTTGAGGGTTTAGGGTTTAGGGTTTAGGGTTTTATGCGTTGAGTGCTTTTTTTCTTGAAAATTAAAGGAAAAAAAATAATTAGGGTTTAGGGTTTAGGACGTTGGGGGCTGCAGTGCCTCCCACCGCCAACTCTACCTTCTGGCGCATGTTGGTCAGACCCTAAACCCTAAACCCTAAACCCTAAACCCTAGCCGCTGAAATCTGATTTCTAAACCCTAAACCCTAATTTACGCTTGGCGTCTCAGCCTCAGTCCAGGGGTATCTGGCGGGTACGGCTTGTCCTCCCTGCGGCCTCCGCTTCCAGACCCCAAACCCTAAACCCTAAACCCTAAACCCTAAACCCTAGAAAAGGGTTTACGCATATTAAACCCTGAGATGCGAGGGAGAGAAAGAGACAATAGGGGTCCATCTTCTAACATGGGGGCCCCTGAGGGCCCCTCTGCTGATGGGGGAGATTCGTGGGGACAAGAGAGAGGAGACAGGGGAGGAGAGAGAGGAGAAAGAAAAGGAGACAGGGGAGGTAGAGGGGGAAGAGGAGGACGAGGAGACAGAGGAGGAGACAGAGGAGGAGACAAAGGAGGAGACAGTTTATTCAGTGGAGGGGACCCAGGCAACAACAACAACAGCAGCAGCAGCAGCAGCAGCAACAGGGGGCAAGGGAGGGGAAGAGGAGACGCAGAAGGAGACACTACAATTAGGGAAAGGGGACACAGATGGAGACACCGCGGCAATAAACAAAGAAAAGGAGAGGAGACACTAGGAGACGATCGTTGTCTCCTTGCTAAACCCTCGTCAGCAAACCCTCAGGACCAGCAAACCCTAAACCCTAGAAATGCCAGCGCTGCAAACGCACAAACCCTCGGGGACGCACAGGTACGCAAACCCTAAACCCTCAACCAACCACAAACCCTACAAAACGCTTAGGGAAACGCAAGCAGGGGTCACCGCAAAGGGATTAGGGTTTAGGGTTTAGGGTTTAGGGTTTGGCTTGGGTGCGCAGACTTGGAGAAGGCCTAATGAAGAAGAGGGCACGCAGGATGCCCAACAAGGATGGGTAAACCCTAAACCCTAAACACTCGACCTGCAAAGTGACCTATAGAGCGTTGCAGACTAGGGTTTGGGGTTTAGGGTTTAGGGTTTAGGGGTGTATAGTTTTATTTGTGTCTGTTTGCAGCAGGAAGAAGGCGGAGAGCAAGACGCCACAGGTACATAAGCTAGATATCAGGGTTTAGCTAGGGTTTAGGGTTTAGCTAGGGTCTAGGGTCCACCATCCTGTTTGAATCCCTGCAAGGGTTAAGGATTGGACTAGGGATAAGGGTTTGGGGGGACTGAGGCGGCGTAGCCAAGGGTTTAGGGTTTAGGGTTTAGGGTTTGGGTGCGTGCAGGTTATTCTGGTGGTGCTGGGGGTTTAGAAGGAGCAGGAGGCGGAGGAGGTCGTCGTAGGAGGGTGAGTGTTTACGATGTTAGGGTTTAGGGTTTAGGGTTTAGGGTTTAGGGTTTGGCTGTGTGCTGCCCATTTAGAGTCTAGTAAAGATTAGGTTTTAGGGTTTAGGGTTTATTGCCTCTTCCTAGGGTTTATTGCTTTCCGTTTCCTTATAGGAGGGGGCCCCTGGCAATTCTCCTAGGGCCTCGGGGGCCCCCTATCAAGGAGCAGCAGAGGGGCAGAAGCAGCAGCAGCAGGGTACTATGCGGTCTCGGTTCCCCTTACCATCACAAGCAGCTCTTGCTGCAGAGGCCCTTGGGGGGGGCCCCATGCAACAAATGGGGGGCCCCCCCGGTAGGCAAGGTAAGGGGCCCCTGATAATAGCTCATCTACAGTTTCCTTTCGACCCATTAGGGTTTAGGGTTTAGGGTTTAGGGTTTAAGGTTTGGGGTTAAGGGTTTAGGGTTTAGGGTTTTTGTCTACAGGTCGTGGCAGAGGAGGGTCTTGGATGCCTTACGGAGGGGGCCCCATGAATCTGCGCAATCCCTTTGGACCCATGGGGGGCCCCGGCATGCCTCCATTTATGCCAGGGCCCATGGGAGGCCCTGGGGGCCCCCATGGTCCACCGAGGCCCCCAGGAGGAGGAGGTGTACCCATGGGGGCCCACCACCCTCCTGTAGGGGCATACCCAGGGGCCCCGGGCCCCAATGGGTTGCCTCCACCAATGGAGGGGCCCCCACCAAGCGGGGCGCCCCCCTTTGTTGACACGGTAGGGGCCCCCATGGGGGCGGCGGGGCCCCATGGAGGCCCTCCACCACATGGAGCAGGGCCTCACGGGGGCCCCCCGGGACAGCACATGCATCAGCCTCCTCCTCCCTTTATGCGAGGTACGGGGGGCCCCCACAGCCCTACTTTGGGTCCCGAGGGGCCCCCTGCTCCCGTAGGAGGGGACGTACAGCAGAGGCTTATGGGGCCCCCTCAGATGGGTGGGGGCCCCCCTATGGGTATGGACATGGGAGGCCCCCATCACCCAAGGGGTGCAGGGGGGCCCCCCATGTTCCTACCCCAGCATATGCATCTACAGGGGGGCCCCGGTATGCCCCCTCCCCCTCCTCCTGAGGCCTTTGGCATGCAGGGTATGTCTCCTGAATGGTTAGGGGGGCCCCCTGGGGGCCCCCCCGTTGGGCCCCACATGGGCGCGGGGCCCATGGG